TAGTAAAGGCAGGACATAAGCTGACTTCCATATTTCTGGAATTGTCTTCGTGCTGAGGGAGAGGTTAAAAAGGGGAGTAAGAGGTGGTGCAATAAAATCTGCAGCTATCTTTAAAAAGAAAGGTTCTACGTTGTCCGGGCCAGCAGGTTTCTTAGGATCTAGCTTGGTTAAGGCTTCATGAACAACATTAATAGTAAAAGGAGAGAAACTAAAAGGGTTTTCCAAATCACATTGTTGAGTCTGCTTCGGTGGTGTTCACAGAGATGGAGTTAGTAACAGAATCAAACAGAGAGCCACAGGACACAAAATGCTCATTAAAACAATTGAACATAGTGGCCCTGTCCGATATAGTGCCAGATGCTGTGGAAAGGCAATGGGCTCATTTCGGATTTCACCGGTGGATATCGATTTTATGGCTTTCCAAAATGTTCTAGGATTATTTAGGTTTTTTGTGGTAACTGACAAATAATACTTCGACTTAGCCCTTTTGATTTGCGATGTGAAGCTATTCCTTAGCTGCCTAAAGCGAAGCCATTCTACCTCTAAGCCTGATTTCCTAGCCTTTGCCCAGGCCTTGTTTCTCTTGTGTCGGAGACTGGACAGTTCAGCAGAAAACCAAGGATTCTCTCGTCCCTTCACTCTAAATGTACGCAGGGGTGCAATAATTTCCATAAAACCAAGATAAAAAAGACCATACAGTTTCACAGATCGATTTTACCCCAATCAAAACCAAACAGATCATGAACAAAACCCTGCTCCACAAAATGTTTTGTGTCTCTCTTTATTATAATGCGAGGTTTAACCTTTTGGACCTTAGTGTCCCTGATTGTGGCTACTGCACAGTGGTCACTCCCATCATTTGCAAATACTCCCACAGATAAGTATTTATAGGGAACATTAGTTAGAATGAGATCAATTAGGGAGGATTTATTAGGGGAGTTAATGTTAGGGCGAGTAGGACTGTCTACAATCTGAATAACATTTAAAGAGATACAAAGGTTTTTAAAATCCTCTGACACTGCAGTTAACCAGTCCCAGTTAAAATCGCCAAGTAGCACTATTTCCTTGTAGTCAAGTTTAGATAAAAGATTTGCTAACGAAGACAAAGAGGCCTTGACTGCTGAGGGGGGGTCTGTAACAGCCCACCACCATGACCTGTTGACCCTTTGCCACTTCAATATTTAAGGCTAAAAATTTGAGTTGCTTACTGATAGATTTGGAAACCAATGTGGTTCCACTAAACTTATTCTTCACATAAATGGCAATGCCACCACCTTTATTAGGCCGGTCGGTACGATATACATTATGACCATTTAAGGATATGTCAGAGGCCAAAATAGATTTATTAAGCCACGTTTCTGATAAAACAATGACATCAGCGTCAGTCGAGTTTCGCCCAAATGCGGACACAATCTAGTTTAGACTGCGCACATTCAAGTGGATGAATCCCAACCCAGACCTAGCTTTAAAATCAGCAGGAGTAGCGATCTGACTACTACTACTAGTCGGACCAGGATTAGGTTGTACATTACCAGATAGCAATAATAACCAAAAAAACAGGCATCTTTTCCTCTTAATCGACACACCTAAATGATCATCTACCTTAAAATCACCAGCAATGTCTGTGAAAGTGTGACTAGAGCTCAAAAAGCAGTCCTGAAGAACCATCATGGCTGAATATCAGAGTAAGCCAACACACTGTTACGAGGAGCCTCGTCCATAAGATGCCATGTACACAGTTCGCATTAAAGGCAAAGAGAACATGGGAAAATAAAGTAATTTTTGAACATTATAGCATGTAAACGTGTCAGGAAAGGGGCACAAAAGATATACTATGAACCTGAAAATAAGCATAATAGGGCCCCTTTAATGTATCAATGAACTCATCAGAGAATAATATATTTCTCTTTGTGTTGACAGGAGTTTTGTGACGCCTGGCTGGCGCAGGACACCGATAAGGCTCGCTTCATGGCCCGGATCTTCCGCCACGGCATCGAGGCGTCTCAAAGCGAACGCCTGCAGAAGGAGTTTGTCGCCGGTACAGGTTTCGTTTCCTGCGACTCGTACGCCATGGCAGCCGCCGTGGACGACTCGTTCATCACAGAGAGCGACCATTACCCGGTGAGCGTGGAGCTGGCGGGAACACACACCAGAGGCATGATGATAATGGACACCGTGGGCTTCCTGAAGAAGGAGCGCAAGGCTTTTATCATGAAGAAGGTGGATATGGAGAAGTTCAAGCAGATGATGATAGCTGCTTTAAAATAACACCTTTAAACATTCTACATTAATGACAAGATGTCACTTTGTCCGTCCATACATTTTGGCTAATTTCTCCATTTGTGTTTTTAGTAATAAGGCAATATATTGTATTTAAACTTCTGCTACTACAAACTGTGACTTTGTCTTTAGCAGGAAGGATGTAATACTAATTTTGTACCATGCAATTTTAACGCATAAGACTTACTAGTAGGGCTTTAAACGTTTTACAAATATATACAATTGTGATTATTTTGACCGATATTATAGGAATGATATCCTAATTTTCATTGAAAATAAACAAAAAGAAATATGGTTTGAATTTTGCAGCGGTCTGTACAGAACAATTAGTTTATTGTGTCTGTAGAATATGAAGTGTAAACCAAGACATCTTTGAAGCACTACTACAGTATTGAAAAATATATTTTGATACACATCTCCCTCGATCAATTATTGGCTAAAGTGCAACATTTCCATGAGTTGTTCAGTCCACTTTCTACCTCAATTGTATGACAGTGTTCTCATAATGCATATACATGGTATGTCAGAAAATGTTGATAACAACACATTAAAATTTGAATAAGAACTCTTTATTTTGTACTATTTCTTTAATTACATCAACTCATAGCACAACAAACACACTCCATCATTCAAAAAAAGCTCCCGTGTTTTCAGCGCTTCATGTTGCTTGTGTTGTGTCAGATTAACGTTAGGTCGACCTTTACTACCCACTTTTTGACACATTTCAGATGAAGTTGCACATCCTTGGCCTAGTGAGCCGCGCTGATGAATGATTTAATAAATACAAGTATTTACAGATGTCCAGGGTTCGGTCCTCAATATCCTTTCCTTCCTCTGAACCGTGACCGTGTGTCAATCTGTAAAAAGAAAAGACAGAATTTAATTGAATCATTCTCTGTTTTGAATATAATATGATTTATGTCTCATTCTGCTTCTGACCACTTGGGGAAAACACATCTAGCAGTCACAGCAGGAAAGAGGAAGGTAAAACATTCCCTCTACTGCTTATTCTTCCCCTTTCTTTCACTTTGTAGTTTCACAAATGCTTTGATGTCATTACCATAGACCTCTTGCACTCGAAGAAGGACGTCTGCAGGGCTTTGCAGTGGCCTTCCTTCAGACACTCACTGGGCATCTTCCCCTCCTGACAAAATCAGAAACCAGTTAGAATACACTGGACCATGAGCTAAACATGCACTCCCTCCCACATGCAGTATTTGATCTCGTTGGAAATGTTGTTTTATCTTAGTTAGGGATGACATTTGAGGATTGTTGGTATTACAGATACACATTTAATATCTACACTTAGTGAAACAATCCTTTTTGATCTCTGGACAGGATAATTTAGCTATTATAGAAACCTCATTAAGGGATTTGACTAAAAAGTATGATGTTTCCCTGCAAAATGTAGTGGATTAGAAGTATAAAGTAGTACAAATGTGTAAAAAGTACTTGATTAAAATTACCTCAGAATGATTGTCAACCACTGGTTGACTACTTGACTACGCAAACTGGTGTTATCTAGGTTTATTATTAAGTATTTCCTAATGTTGAGTATATGTCTGAATGTTTGAATATTAAGTTCCGGATGTACACAAATCGGGTAAAGTTATTAATACGGTAACGGTTACATATTATACAGCCTATGGGTTAGGGGGGACATAGATACGTTTTCCATGGGACTTTGATAAAGCAAATTACTTAAGGGTTATCTTATCTGTTAACCTTTAACTAAGTAATTACAACACGTTGAACTTGAATGTTTTTATCTCTAGAGGACATTTTCCTACCTTCACCACGCAGTCGTGCTCCATCAGACAGGCCTTGAAGTCCTCTCGGACGCCGGCGCAGGCCCGGCCGTCCTCCTCTTTTTCGTCGTAGTACTTCGGCATGGTGCAGACTCCACTTTAACACCAGTTATTCCTTTCATATATTCACAACTACAACAATGTGCTAACAGTGACACAACCAATGTTATGAAAGCTCTCAGCCACCATGTTTCTGAAAGTGCATGACGGGAAAACGGAAGTACGTCGCGCTGAGAAATGCATGCCGGGAAGGTTTGTAGTTTTTTTTACAGATCAATAATCCGTGTGTAAATGTTAAACACCTTCCACAAATGTAAAAAAAAAGTGTAAATGCACAGAAATATTAAAAAATATGTGCAAATACAGAAATAAATTCCACACATAAAAATGAAATCCGTGAATACTTAAATTAATTTACAAATACACAAAGAACATTTGTAAATATATATTCATACAGATAATTTATCTGTTCAAACTATTTATATATACAGTCTATGGTTCAAACACATTTTTACCTCAGACCAATCCTGATCCATGTGTGGAAAAACTACATAAAATAAGCTTTGTGGTTATATTTGAAATAGATTTACTTTCCCTTTTTCTTTACAGCTGTTCTGGAATCTGGTGATACAGATGGCATGAGAAATGCACGTGGAACAACATAACACAGAAAAATAATGGCCATGACTTCCAACAACTTTTATCTTTTATTTCAAAGATGTCCATGAAAAATGATGTCAAACATTAGCGGCAGGCATACATGTACATGATGAAGGCACATGAACTGATGGGGGTGTGGGTTTGTTTTTAATCAAGGGGAAGAGTTCCTTTCATTGTTTTTTCTCATTTCCACTTTAAACAATTACAGTAAGGGGGGGGTCATAAGGCGATTAATGAGCGTTTATGCTGCTTTCATGCATTCAGTCTGTACGTGGATCCAGGACAAGAGGGGAAAGCAAGTCCTGTAATTAGTACTGAAAATGACTTCACACTTTTGAAATCATGTCCACCATTCAGCTCTCATCTTCTCGCAATTAAAAAAAAAGACTGATGAAGAGGTGGCCGAGAAAATAAATAATAATCATGCACATGAACAGCATGACTAGGAAAAAACAATTCCACTAAAAGGCACTTCACTTTCCCCTTCGATAAACCACTAACATTTCAAATCAGTGAACTTCATCCACTCATAATATTGGCCACACACACACAAACACAAAACATGTCGACTGCATTTCAATAAACTATTACATGTGGCAGAAAAGAGAGGGTGAGGGAAATAAAGAGAGATAATGCTCATTGCTTTTTTATATATTTACAATCAGTGAAAGAACTACACAACCTCAGTCAAATCTTACAACAAAAGGCGCAATCATCAGTAGTCATAATATTCTGTCCAATCAAAAAACAGATACTTGATTGAACAAAATAGTTTGTCATATAGATTTGGAGGAATCAGTGAAATGAACTATGGGAAGATGGGAAATTTAAGTACAATGGTGAAAAGTGTGATGGCAACAAAAAAAGTGAAAAAAGCTGTGCAAATCACGCTGTTTCAGAACAAACACCCCCCTTTTTGAACCGCATTCACTCAGATGTTGATCTAAACATCCAGTAACTTATTTGACTGTGTATATTATTTTAAAAATATTAGTATATCCAGCAATCAAAGTGTAGGCAAGAGTGAGAGATTGGAATAATGTTGCTGAGACAATTTCAAGGGACCTGGATTTAAGGCACAATTTTTTTTCTAATTTTGACCCACAGCTTCTTCAACAGAATCTATTCTCAACTCTCCTACCATTCAGTTTTTAAGAAGTGAAATTAAATTCAAACGCTTCGCTTCAAGTGAAAAGAACTGACCCGAGCACCTGCAGACAAAAGTTTGCAAGTAGCTGCAATAATGAAAGAAACGGTATAATAGCAATTTAGGCAACAAACACAACAGGACACAAATAAAAACAGACTCTGAACTACCATAAACATCTCTCAATAGAATAAAAATATATTTTACCTCTTGTACAAATTAAAGATTTATTTCAAATAAATTAAGTCACCTTCATAGATCGTCATAGCTCTATAATAATATATCAATATAACAATATATTCCTTCGGGAAAATGACGCCAAGGCAATGTCTGATTGGTTTACTGTAAATGGACGCTGAGGTCACACGGCCCGTCAGACAGGAGCTGAGATATGGTGTCATGGAACTTATTCTCTCAACGGATCGGGGTAGTTACCTCAGAAAGTGGCCTACATTTTTAGTCAAAGTTGTTACTGACTGGCTACAGGCAGGATTTTGGAACAAGCTCGTCCTGAGTGTGTGTTTCAGGACAAGTGGAGTATTTGAAGTGTGTCGGACAATACTCTGGGAGCGAGGGAAACATTGTTTGGGCTAGTGTTAATCTGGAGCTCCGTCATCTCTGTCGGGAACAGAGCGACTGGCCGTTAGCGATGACAACATTCTCCATCATCGAGGGCTGTTTTGCTGAGGCGTTAGTGACAGTGCAATGCCCCAGCTGGCCCGAAGGTGGCAGCATTGAGTCACCGGAGGAGGAGGGTTTGGCAGCATCACACCACCGCTTCTTGTGATGATTTGTCCTCGTTTGTCCTTTTTTTCTGATTGGGTTCAAAGCCGCTGAGCAACACAGAGACTTTGAGAGCCGGAGCAGAATGCCTTCACGCACTCCGTCGCTGTTCTTCAGGACAGTAGTATTCACATTCTCAAGAAATGAATTAAGAGCACAAGAGTGAGGGAGAGATGCAGAGAGAAATGGAGGAATCGATCGACGGGAAGCAAAAAACAAAACAAACGGACGAAGATCAGGGTACAGGGAGGCGGCGCTCCTCAGACAGCGGGCTCGAATGACTTCGCTGCTGGTTGCTAGGCGCCAGAGGCCTTGCGTAAGCAATCGAGGAGAGTCTGGTCCCCCGGGGGGGCCGTGATTCATGATCCAGAGTCAGCCTGCCATCCTCTTTATATGTATCTGCAGGAGAGCGTTACATGTGCTATTAGAAACATTGAGGCAGAATGCATCTTGAGAAAGAGGTGTTAAATGTGATTTGACAGGAGAGGAACAGGTGTGTGTTTGGCTCACTTCACTGAGGATGGCCCACACTGCCGAGTCTTTGATGACCGAGAGCCGCAGAGCGATGATGGGATTGAAAGAAGGGTCCACGACTCCCTCTGCCACACCCTTCTCAAACTGACCTGTGGGTTCAAGCAGACACAAAGACAATATAAGAGACTGTAAATCATAAATATAGGGAGAGCCCAGTGCTAATGATTAACACTGGGCTCTGAAGTGAGAGGGAAACATTAACTGACTCGCTGGAAGAATATTAATTTAATGTTTGGGCCTTAATCACCTCACCTGAATACCCAGCGACTGACTTATGCACTTAAGTTGTATTTACTTATCTGTATTCATAAAACAGCTATATTACCTCAGGTGTACTTACACTTATTTATATATGTTTTAAAATAGACTAAAATAGTCTATACAGTTCATTAATCGGTCTATAGTGTTTATATTAAACTGTCTATATGTATACCTGCTCTATAGTGAATTCAATTTACATACCACTGTTTATATTGTATATTCCGCTACATACTGTTCATACTCTATTTACTTAAACATTTTATATCTGTCTTAGATTATACTATGAATTACACTGCACTTTACTGCTTTTCTCCCCCGCCCATAGCAATTTTGTTGTATCAGTTTGTGTACTCTGAATCTAATCAAATGTTTTAATTGTATTGTTATTTTATTCAGTTTCTGACATTCGTTATTATTTATTCTTATTTATCCTTGTGTGTCTTTCATTTAAAAGTGTTTTAAAAATGTGTGTACATAGTTTTTGAGCTAGCGACAAACTTAATGTTGCACTTTTGATAATTGTATAATTTAAAATTTGATTTGTAATGTATGTACTTGACTGCACGTCCCATGTTTCGTCTTTCTGCTTTGATCCTTATTTTTTCTGGGCAAGCTCAAAGGGAAGGTTGTTATGGTGAGAAACCTAATTGCTGCGATGCACTTTTATAATTAAATAAATATTTGCATTTACATTTTAAATTCATGGTGTGTTGCATTCTTTGTTTATAAATGTAGATATTATGGAAAATCATGACATTTTTTTAGCTTGGGTCCCTTAGGACCACAACATTTCTGTTTTGGGTCTCATGCTGGAAAAGTTTGGGAACCCCTGCCCTACAGGCATCAATTCATTTATCTAAATCACATCCACAAGGAACATTTAACGAAAAAGGTATGAAAGTAGAATCTTATTAGAATATTGTCAGTAAAAATATAAAGACTTAAACGACTCCAGGAAGAGCAGAACAACCTCAGATGAAAATTGGAAAATGGAAAAAGGCTGTGACGGAGAAAACATCCATTTGTTTGAACACCTTCTATCAATGTGGTCATCATCAGTGTGAGTGCGTAACCTGATCGGACTCACCGATCCTGTAAAAGCGGTCTTCAGTTCGTTTGTACTTTTCTTTGGTCTGAAGTCCTGGTACCTAACATGTAGAGCACAGTAAAAGGAATATGAGACACAAACAACTTTTTTAATGATTTCTCATTTACGCAGCACTTTAAAACGGATGCAAACATGTGAGCCTGCACAGGGAGTGTGAACCTCAGCGTCAGGATGTATCGCTTCGGGCGCAGCATCGATTCTGTCATGCTCACATTGCTGTCAATAATCAATATGCTACGTGCCTAAGAGCAACCACTCAATGTAATTAAATAAAAACTGTTTGCACATCACATCAGAAGGGTGACTGTGTGTGTGTGTGTGTGTGTGTGCGTGCGTGCGTGCGTGCGTGCGTTCCTACCGAAAAAGGCAGTATTTCCACGGTAGTGTTCTCGATTTTGTCACCCGGGTGCTCTTGGTTACCACTGCGGAACAGGAACCTGCCAATCAGATCAAACATTAGTTTTAATATTTACAGCCATAGAAAAGCATTCTTGCACATTTCCCCTCGTGGCAGTTCATCAAGTCATTTGTGGATGGTTCATTAGGAAAATTGAGTTCATGAAATAGACTGTAAGTGCACTTCTTTCATTTCATCGAGGGTTAACTGTCAGTCGGATCTATTTTCAATGCGTTTGGTCCTTAGATCGAACATTCAACATTCAAGATTGAACATTAATGATTTCATTGCCTTTTTAGCCAGCTGAGGAATCTCAATAGATTTCGGAGGATGATTTGAATTCACAAAGCGTGGGCACAGAGGGAAACGTGAGCTTCACTTAAGAAAGGTTGGAGGACTCAAGGAAGAACAGGACGATCATGCTTTCCTTACTTTACCTGAAACAAGGCCGATTTGAGTTTTAACTTGTAGAAAATAAGGTTGCTACACATTTTGGTCAATTGATTTCCATGACTTATGGTAACAGTTTCCTTACCAGACATTCTGTGACGTATCAATGATAAAGTTAGTGTTTAATCAGCTAGCAATCTGACACAGACTATAACTGATATGTATGCTTATGGGGAAATACATGTTGTGCATGTGCTGTGTCCTCTGCTTCTGCCCGTTGGGATATCATTGAAATAACAGAACAAAAAAAACATATAGTTCCAGAACATTTTTACTGAATCAATAACTTTCCAGAACAGTTTGGTTAAATTACATAACTTTTTCCAGTTTTTTCCCGACTCTATGAACGGTTTAAATTGTTAGCAGATAGTAGGAGGCAGAGGCAGAATGTCGGATCATAAAGAACGCAAAGCAGTCTGTATCTCTCGGCCAACTGCTGATCAGATGTTTTCTAATCAGAAGGGCAAAAAGAGTCTGAGTCGGTATTATTGCTATCATTCAAAAGCAGACAAAACACTCTGAGTCAGAGAGAGAAAGACGAGGCGGCTCTTTCCCCGCTCACAGCCACTTAGTAGCTGATTGATCGACAGTCTCGTGGTCCAAACGTTATCTTGACGAGTGCAATGAATTCACTCGTCACCATAAAACAAATCTCCACATGACCAGATCTGAACATCCCCTTTCCGCTGCTGTGACGTTTTCGCAATCAGATCTCTTTATATTCCCTGTCTTTCTCCCATCTTCCCCACGGCTCCACAGGGAGTAGGAGGCTGACCCGAGGAAGCTTATTTTAGAGCACTCTCATTAGCTCAGCCGGATCCCTGAAGAGACACACACTCACACACACACAGTGAAGACTCAACCTGAAGCACTAAATGGCAGGAGGCAGAGGAAAGCGAGAAGACAGATTTCTGCATGTGCTTTCATTGCCAACATTATTATAATACGGATGTATGCTAATCATATTATTTCAACAGATGACACTCAGATAAAGCCCTTTATACATACTTCTCTATGCTAACAGGCCGGTCAAATTTGAAGAGGATGTAGTCTCCCGCTTTCGGAGTGATGGACCAGAAGAAGTCCTCTCCCAGGTACGTCTTCTCCAGCGTGTGACCCTGGTACACCTGTGTAACACATGACATGTTTCGTTCCACCCTAATCACTGATTGTAAAGCTGAGGGACATTGTGTTCAATTAATCATTCATATTTGTATGAACTAGGCTGAAGCTTTATTACAGATACTTCCTTATTTAAAGATCCAATCCACCGCTGATAACAAAGGTGGTCAGGTTTCGGACCTGATTTGGAAATATGAATCATAGATAAGCAGCTCCTGAGTCATTGTTTCTACCTTTATAACTAGGATATATACAAAAGGGGTTTACATGAGCATCCTACATTTTAGATAAACTAATTTATTTTATTTAACCAACTAAATGCTAACAGGTGGAATTGAATCACAGAGAGGATTAAAGCAGGCACAAAGGATACGGTTTGATGATGAAACGCTCAACATCAGAAGCAGGCTGTCCCTTCAATGATGCTACAGACACCTGTAACTCATCTGACTTTCAGCTAAGTGCCTTGTTTTTGATTCATTTTAGGTGTGTTTCAATGTATGTTTAAATTAAACAAACATTGGCTTTAAAGTATTTTAGCTGGTTGCTTTGTAACAGACATTAAAGCTGATGTTGGATTGATTATTTTTATGTTTTAAACTGAGATAAGATTGAATCACAGGGTCAAAGTTAGATCGTTTTTTAAGAGCAAATAGGGGAAAGTTCTATCTTAGATTATTCCTGTCTTGACTTCAGACTTCAGACTTCATACACTTTTTCACCAATGATTTTCAATGACTTTCCCATGACCTTTGCCTAATTTTCCATGACCTTTACCTAATTTTCCATGACCTTTACCTAATTTTCCATGACCAAAAAAATTACTCTTTCTCAGAGGTACCACTGAAACATTTTTATTTTAACATGGTAAGCTTGAAAATAAGGTCTGCATATGAAACACGTTGTGCCTATCTAAAACAAATCCAATAGTTGGCTTACTAGCTTCTACAGACTAAAGCCACTGGAGACTAGAGGGCGTGATTGTAAACATCTCTCACCAGCAAAATACCTCGACAGTTAAATGCCATTTTACGTTTCATTACTATACAGTACTTATTATCATTATAGTATTACTATTTCGGCAATTAGATAAAATATAAATTATATTTGATTCAACTTTGGTTACATTTCCATGCCTTTTCCAAAATGTTGGGAAAATATTGTTTTCCATAACTTTTCCAGGGCCTGGAATTTGCATTTTGAATTTCCATGACTTTTCCAGGTTTTTAATGACCGTAGGAACCCTGAGACTTTCAAGAGAGTAGTTGGCTATAAAACAGCCTCAGAAAATTATAAACCGAATAGTCGAGACTCCTGCAATGATACCGCTTCCTAAGTGGAACCTCAGCTGGGGGTTGACGTGCATGCTGTGGAAGCAGCAGGCTTCAGGAAATCTTGCTCTGTAGACACATATCAGATGGGGGTATTAACTCTTCTATACGGCGGCAGCACGCTCTAGATGTTAGACGAAACTGTATGAAACGCCAGGGGCGTTGAGACCCTGTGAGTTTCTGGCCTCTTTCGCAGCAAGAGAAGACTGGATCGCCACGTGTTGAAACAGGGAGGGTCTGAAGGCGCAGCGCGCACGGCCTGGACTTCCTGCGCTCGCAGTGTTTCTGATACCAACCATAGCAGGGAGCGATTGATGAACCGTAAAACCTCCTTCAATGTCACTTCACTTATAAAATCATACCTTACAGTGGTCTCGAGCGCAATACGTACCGCATCTTCTCCGGGTTGCAGACTCTTGAACGCCTAGCAGAGTGTGGTCGCAGGCAAGCCAATCGACTGCGGCTTCTCTTGTAGAAACATCGAGATGAACTCAACCATGCGGTTCAGGTCGCTGGAGGCCTGGAACATTTTTCTGAGGAAAGAGAGATTCAGGCGGCTCTTATCACGACATGCTCCATGATTCTGCACACGGCGTCATTAAAGACAAGACATTACAAAGGGATGTAGTGTCCGTTGCCTACATATGACTTCGGGCTACATTCGCGCCCCCGTCGTGAGGTACTGTTACACGTGAGCGCCAATTTCTACACTGATCTCCCTCTGCTCTCTTCATCCACGGTGGCATTTGACGCATTTGATCAAGAATTCTGCAACGTCTGTTCAGATTTGTATTTTGTATTTGAAAGTTAGTTAGGAGTCCTTTTACCTGACTAGTGGTATGTATAGTGTAAAAGAATCAATGCATCAATGGCACATGGAAGAGTAACTACATATCGCATGTTTGTATATGGGTGATTAGCTTATAAGGTCACGCTCCAGCACAACAAAGTCTTTTACATCATGAACAAGTCAGGACTTGTCAGCCTATTGAGTAATCCAACGAAGTATTATTCCATGCATCTTGACGGCTACCTGTTCCGAAGAGTTTATATGAGATGGAGGTAGAGATAATCACGTTTGACGAGACCAGTTAGCCGCGAAGTATGTGACTTTTTGCTTTCAAATAGATGACAGATGCCGCCCCCCCGTGTGCGATGCAGTGTCATTAGGATCATGTGCAAACGGGTCTAGGCCAAGAAAAGCCGCAGCTGAGAAACTGCAGGATAATCCAGTCCTACCGCGACGAGAGCTGCAGGGCAAAGTTACTTCATTAGGTGGCAAGTAGTTAGCGGCTTGGCGACACGAATCATTCTCGCGGCAGGCTGAAGAACAAACCAGGAGGGAAGAATGAGTTGAAGGGATGCTGATGGCACGGGAATTATAGAAGGAGACTCCTCACTCAGGACACCATAGTACGCTGAGCTAGGAACATAAACACTAAACCAGCACAGGTTAGCGAGCAGAAGTCATGGACAGTGGCAATACCTTCTTCCCTCCGAAGCGGAAGATGGAAATAGAATACGGCATGCATCGAGACAGAAAAGTTGGGAGATTAACGACACAAACTGTGCAGTGTGACGAAGTAAAGAACATTTATGCAACATTCCAAGTTAGGGCGCCTAGTTTTCAAGCAAGGAGCGAAAGTGCTTCAGTCTAGATGAAAGACCAATACAGCAGGTCCTCTCGATAGTATCGCAACAAGCACACACTTTCAGTTTGCGGATATTAGTTTTCGCCCAGTAACCAGGCGCTTCACAGGCTGACACATACTGCAGGCTCAAGGCTGTACGGCAGAGGCCTTCTAAAATGCACTCCACAAGTTTGCTATGGGTACGCTTATTCTTATTCATTTTTCTTTCTAAGGAAGGACGTACCTGAGCATAATAACACTCCCTTGGCTCAGCGAGCATGCATCA